CAGCTGTCGTGGCTGTGACGGTTCCACCTGAAGACGGAAGCTTGTGTTGCCTCCGAAACGTCGTGATTTTTATTTTATTTTACTTTTATTAATTTAATTTTTTACCTACGTGACTTTACCGAATAAACCTAAGAATATGGTTCAACCAACTTTACAAAATCCCTCCAACGAGAATTAAAACTTCGGTTGGACTGCCCCTATCCCAGACCCATCTAGAGCAGGGCACATCGCCAAGTGCAGTACCCCTCGTCTGGATAAGAGGTCACTTGAAGGGACCTCAGAAGAAGTTCCGTGAGGTCTCCTTCCTCAGGCCATCCTCTGGAAGACGGAGACGCACTGCTCTATGAGAGTTCCGAATCGACACTTTGTTTCATGACCTGATGCCAAAATCGGAAGAAAAAAAGTGACGCTCCATTACCTGCCCAGCCTGTTGAGGCAAGCACTGCAAGTGAGCAGCTGTCATGGCCAGTCTTGCGCCCGCGGTGGTAATGAGTCAGCAACACATCTAGCCACCTTCGTTTCGAATGTGCCATTTACCACATTGCAATGGGTGCCACAATTTCAGCCGGGTGGACCTAAGAGAAAGCCCGACCAATTTTAGACATCATACTCCGCTGCACTGTTTCCCACCCTGTCGCAGAATTTTCTCGAACACGGGACCGATGATGCATTGTCCTGCTCGTGTTCTGAATGGGCATTTCTTCATATCGTGACTTGATGCCGCAGGTACAACTCAAATAACATTGACAGCAGCAGGGTCAAAATTTCGCTATATTCGAACATTTACACCAGAAATTATTCAATGAGGATTTTACACACACAGGAGCAATCATCGCCTCCTACTGGCACACTGATGGGCCTGGTCACTCTTGCAAATTAGACTTAGCAATGGTCTCTTGAGCTCTCACCTGGCTAATCAAAACGAGACTTGACACTTGAAAAACAATAAACCCACCACTGCAGCTGCAGACACACCGCTTTGTACAAGAGAAAGGTTGAACTTGTAACTGGGTTCAACACGCCCACAAAGATGAAAAACAATCAACAGAACAAGCAGGCACCTGGAAGATAAAAATAGCACCCAACGGCAATTCTTGTCAACAGCTCCATCACGCGAACCGTCATTGAGAGGGCAGTCCGTCGACAGCAGTGATCAACTGCCTCTCACTTGGCAACATAACAAGAACGAACCATAACGGATCTGACTTGACAGTGCACAGCACAATCAGACAATCAGTGTGGCCATGAGAACTCCACGGCGGCATTCGCCAGCCGCCGAACAACACTCCAATCTGTGTTTCACACGGTGGGGGGTGTAACCTCGTCCTCAATGCTGCTGTGATCTCATATTTTTGAAGACACTTCAGATTGTTATGATGCCTCCAAGGTCGGAGAAAGTCGAAGGCTCTCTAACGAGGCCGCGATAACAAAGATGTGCGGCCAAAATCGCATGGGTGTCGGATGAATGGGCACGAACAGTTGTGTAAAGCGATCTTTTTCAAAGCAATGTATATTTCAGTTTTGCTGGTGGGAGAGGACGCTAGAAATTCGTGCAAGTTTCTAGGGGGGGGGGGGGGAAAGTGCTTCCCAGCGTATTACAACAACGCTGACGCATAGCTTCTGACATTTTTCTGCCGAGATCTCCGTTGCCCGAGCGCGTTCTCCAATAAACACCGGAGGCGCGCTCTCCCTCCCCCTGTGAAGCTACACGGGCCCCCCACCACGCCACCCCCCGGGGTGCCCAGCTCAGCGCCACATCAGCCCGTAAAAGCTTTCTTCGCAAAGACCTGTCGAGGCCAGCACACGCGACTCGGCGATAGCGACGGTACCTTTGTTGCGCGTACATATTTAACAGCCCCCGGAGACACGAGGACTGCCGATGGGCGCAAGGAGTACAATTAAGAGCCAATGGAGCTAAACAAAAGAAAAAGTCAATGAAGCTCAGCGGCGATGGCGATCCCGCTCAGACTGGGAGCGTGCCGTCGCGCGCGGAGAGCCGGCGCACACCGACAACGCGGCCATTCCACTTGTCAACTCCGCAACAGCCAAGAGACGGCCGTGGCGAGAGATGCAACTCTCGTGAGTGACTCTTGAAAGCCACGGCAACGGAGCGCACATCGGAGGGGGGCAGGCAAGGAGCCGGGCTGGCCATTGGACGTCACGGGCGGTTGACAAGACGCTGTTGATCAACGAGGTGGTCGGTCAATGCGCGCACCAGCGAAGTTTTTAAGTGTCGGTATTACGCCTGAATTGTTTTCAAGTCTGACATGAGGAGAGTCCAAGCTGTTGGATTGGTCTGTTTTAGCCTGAGGTTGTGTAATCAGTTGCATGTGCAAAGCTCTTCACATCCAGCACCGATGATAGCCCAACAACAAAAAACTTTAATCATCTTCTATAATGGGCAGCAGAAAATGCTGTTTTCATTTCCAGGAAGCGTGTTATTTGCGCAGACATTAAAGCTCCAACTACCTTTTTTTAAGTGTATACCATTATATGCTGCCACTTTGGTGAAGTGTACAATTTCCCAACAGTCGGAGAAGGAATACTATAAATCTATCCAGCACATATCTTTATCGACAACATGGACCTGTGCCAAAGAAAGTATTTGTGAAAGAAGTACAAAAACAGAACCCTCCATTGGTCCGGTCCAGCCACACCACTTTGGCCACGCTCGCTGTGCACGGAAGCTGTTCTCGAGACGGGATAAGACGGAACCAAGCGTAAATATAAATTCTTGGAAAACCCTTTTTTGTCTCGCCCTCAAACCTGAACCCTACGCCAACCCACCTCGGCGACTGGGTTCAAACGGTCAAACCCCGACCGCAAACACGCGCGGAGATTTTCACCCCGAGAAGGAAGGGGAGCGTGCATTTGTTCATTCACCTGCCCCGCACGGCAGGAACCCGAAATCGCAAAGGTTCACAGCGTGCCAGCCCGGCAAAGAATTAGCAGCGGAGAAAAAGCGAGGATAAAAAAAACTATTGAACATTTATGAAGCGACCCCCCCCCCTCCCCCCACGCTTTGGCCTCCCTACCTTGAACCATTCAAACAATCTCACGGTCGGTTGATTGATTCTGAAAAGGTGAGGCTAAAAAGGTCACCCTTGAGGTGAAGTACTACACGGAACAATTCGGGGGGTGGGTGGGGGGCACTCTGTAGTTAAATTGCCGTTTAAGAGGGGTGGCTGCAGAGTTCATGACAGCGCGGGTGTGCTCACCCGTGTAATTTTCACATTTGTAAGCTCCTGGAAATAGTGAAATTAATGTGAAGGACCCCTTAGCACTCCGAGGCGTGTAGAGTTATGTGCCCGCATTTGTGAAGCCCCTGACATTTGGAAGCGGCTCGCAAATGGACTTACTGTGGGCCATTCTGTATCACAGGCGGCACGTACTTGTTGAAGAGTAACCACTTTAGTGCCGAATCGAAGCTGCAGTGGAAAAACAAAGACAAAAGACACAACACGCACGGCACATCCTTATTAGTTTTATGCAACGTATGGTTACGAATCACTTGTAACTCTATGCACCTGACAGCCCCTTTAGTCAATCCACTGCTGGATGAGGGCCTCCCCCATGCTATAAGGGCCCGTAGGGGGATATGTTACCATACTTCACCGCGCCCATTAGTGCGTGTTGGTGAAGCGTAGACGTGGCAGAATAGAAGTACAGGACAAAATCATTAGACCTCTTTTGCCAGTACCAAAATATAATAAGGTTTTTCCTCTTTTTTCTGGCAACAAAACTGAAACCTTTTTACGAGGAATCATGTCTGCATTAACCACAATATTTGTGATCAAAATGCAAACAAAAAACACACTCTGATAATAAATGCATTGTCCTTGAAACTGATTGGTCCACACCAGAGACGGCTTTCTTTTGAGCCTCGTCTCAATTGGTGCTAGACCAGAGCGTACGTAACAGTACACAATGGATCATGGGACCTCCTTCGCCAGTACCAAAATATGAGAAGAGGTTTTCCCCTTTTTTCTACGCCTTTTGGCGTCCTCTATTTTTCAGAAGCGACCTGGTCATCACTAATGAGAGCTCAACCAAGCAGCTCATCACGTGGACATTAATAGCTGCCAAATACTCTATGACATGTGATGCAAGTTCTAAATGTGTCTGGTCAGAATGTAGAAATAGCTGACGAGTCAGCATAGCTTTTTTTAATGTTGTATTTTTTAATGTTGCATTTATTTTAGCTTTGCGAGTGCGAACGTCATTCTTTTTCTTTTCCACTTTGTTTAAAATGTCGAGGGGGTTCCCCACGAACCCCCTGCCCCCCTCCCCCATCCACCCATCGCGCGGGGAAACACGGCACATCTGCCAACGTTGTTTCAGGGGACGCCGTCCTAACAGACATCCTGAGCCGAGACGACCCTCGGGCCCTCCTCGCCTGCTCCTCCTCTGGCTGAAGATGAGCGCCGGCTCGTCCAGGTCTCCCTCGGTCGCCGCCTGTCCTTCGCTCACGACGCGGCGGATTGAATCGGTCACGGCGTGCAGTCCCGAGGGCGTGGGTAGAGACGGTGGAGGTGGTGGTGGTGGAGGTGGTGGAGGTGGGGGAGGGGGAACCGTTGAGAAGTCCATCGTCCCACCTGCACCTTCCACCTCTTCATTTTCATCCTCCTTGTGCATCATCTTCTATTACTGATCCTGGTCGGGCCCAGACAAGAAACTCATTAAGGATCACGTACAGCACGCATGTTGAACCTCTTTCGCACCGTACGTAGCAAACCGTGCGGACCACCACTGTACTCCCAACCAATATTATTATATGACATCAGCCCTTTTGTCAGTCCACTGCTGGATGAGCGCCTATCCATGCCCTGTCGGTCGTAGGCTGTGCTTTCACCATACTTCACCACGACGGTCAGCGTGTGTTGATAAAGGTGGGCAGAGCACAGAGTGCAGTACAACGATGGCTTTTGCTGCACTGCCCTCTGCTGGCAACGTAACACTAGTGCGCAAAGCGTGGCCAGGCTGACCACTGCTTAGCTTTCTAGATGACAAACCGAGTTCGCGTATCCGCGCCGTCGCGTGTTCGCTATGCAAGCTGACAATCCACCCCCTACCCCACGGGGCATCCTTGGTAATGGAGATGTCCTCCATCTCAGGGGATTGTCCGGAAGAAATATTGTCGTGAGCTAAGAGATTCTAAACGCCCGATAAGACATCGTCGGTGTGAGAGTCGCCAGACCATTTGAAACCAGTGGGGGGTGGGGGGTTGACAGCAGCAGGATGATGATGGGATGGGGGGGGTGTCACACTTTGTGCACTGTCCATGGGCCGCATGTCCATGGGCCGCATGTCCATGGGCCGCATGTCCATGGGCCGCATGTCCATGGGCCGCATGTCCATGGGCCGCATGTCCATGGGCCGCATGTCCATGGGCCGCATGTCCATGGACCGCATGTCCATGGGCCGCACTAAAGGCCACCAGGGGCCGTCAGTGGCCCGTGGGGCCTTGCGATTGTTAACACTGCCCTAGGCCGTCCAATTATAACGCATTGAGATAATTAAGCTCATGAACAATTGTGCCAGTCGGTGGCATACCGAACACGCCTGGTGCACTGTTGTTCCGAACGTTGCGCTTTGTATCGGGTGGCAGTCGTTGTTGCTGGTTTATCCAGGATGTTTCTGTCGCTTTAAGATGTTCTATGTTCATATTTTGTTTGTTGCGGTTGCACCCGGCTCAAGGGCCGCATGGCTCACAGGGCTATATACCTAATCAATGAAACTTGAAAACCCCACGGCACACACATGCTGGCGCCCTTGCACACAAGACTATCCAGGAGTTTGTTGAACCAGACTTCTCATCTGGTTTGTTGAACCAGACTTCTCATCTGGTTGGTTTAAACAGATTTCTCATCTGGTTTGCTGAACCAGACTTCTCATCTGGTTTGTTTAACCAAACTTCTCATCTGGTTTGTTGAACCAGACTTCTCATCTGGTTTGCTTAAACAGACTTCTCATCTGGTTGGTTTAAACAGACTTCTCATCTGGTTAAACCAACTACAGTACCGTAACAATATTAAACCATCCTATGACCAAATCGCGCCCGAAATCCGGGCGATCTCATCAGACCTCGGAAGCTCAGCAGGTTTTTTTTTCTGAGCCTGGACAGCGCTTTCAGGATCATATTGCGTATTCTATACTGGAGGAATCCGATGAGCTATAAAGCTCTTTTTGCCCACAGACGTCCAGCTTTGATTGGGCCACCACCACAATGCACGTGGTGGTGTGTGGGCTGCTGTGGGGAGACGTGATAGACGTCACAAGGCGATGCAAACACAGAAAAGTCACATTTTGACTTGAAACTTTCGTGACTGCAGGAATTCATATTCTTGGTTCTTTCGGTAAAGTCTCCCTCTGATGTAGACCGCTTGTGTTGCGATCGAAACGTCGTGGGTTTTTTGCTTTTATTATTTTCAAAATTTTTTTATTTTACTTAACTAGTTTTATAGTTTTTTTGCTTTTATTTTCAATTTATCATTTAAATTTATTCTTATTTTCATTTAATTTTATTATTTAGATTATTTTTTCTATCGACGTGACTTTACCGAAAGAACCAAGATTACAGCCAACTCAATTCGCTGTACAGCAACTAATGCTCCCAAATCGACGCTCTCCGCCAGCGCCAGCACAGCATTGACCAGCGTGGTGAAGTATGGTCAAACAACAAACGCCCTCCCCTTCCACCAATCACAACCAACTTGGTACACGGTGGCGGGAGGCAGAGGTCTCATCCAGCAGTAGATTCACACGCGACCAGCCACTGAGTAAACCAAGCGACAACCTCTTGGCGAAGACCCGTGGCCTCATCCAGCAGTGAAGTGGACGCACGTGCCCTGCCACAGCGCCGGTCTACACGTGGATGTGACGTCAGCGGCTGCGGTCGGCGTGAATAATTCCCATTGTAATCGTTGCCTGTCTATAAGATCTTCGTCGTGTCGGAGCGGCTTCTTCGCTGCCGCTGCTGCTGCTGTCACCGCTGGGACGGAGCGGGGAGAGGCGAAGCCCCATGGCGCCCCTCGACCCGGGAAGAGGAACGCCGGCCCCGGTCAGCTGATCAACAGCGCGGGAAATACAAAACAAAAAAACCACTGCACGTGGCCACGCGGGGCATTGTGTTGGGTTGGTGCAGATTGTATTGCGGTGAAACAATACTAATACTGCTAGGAACCTCCTGGTTACACCAGCCCACAGGGGATTATTGTGTCCGTCCGTCCGTCGTGCATCCAAAAATGGGAGTGGTGGGGCTGGATGGAGAGGGGAGGGTGGGGCTGGGTGGGTGGGGTGGGGAGGGGCCTGGTGGGGAGGGTGGGGCTGGGTGGGGGGTGGAAGAGGTGGGGCTGGGTGGGGAGGGTGGGGTGGGGCTGGGTGGAGAGGGGAGGGGCTGGGTGGGGAGGGGAGGGTGGGGCTGGGTGGGGAGGGGCTGGTCACCCTGTGGTGCCCTTATAAAACTCAACGTTTAACCTACTCACGCCGGCTTGTGCCCGCCCTCACAGTCGAGAATATTTGCGGAATACACCACGCCGCCGTTGACCCTGGCCATTAACCGAGCAACCCAACGTTCCTACCAGCTCCCTCCGCAGGAATGTGTTATCTTGATTTGAAGCTTTCGTGACTGCAGGAATCCAAACTCTTTGGTTCTTTCGGTAAAGTCACGTAGGTAAAAAAAAAATAGATCACGACGTTTTGATCGCAACACAAGCAATCGTCATCGGGTGGGACAACCACAGCAAGAAAAAAACTGCTGAAGTAGGCGAGAGACAATACTAATAATAGTAGTAGTGGTAATAATAATGTGCTTCAGCCTTTCTGGCGATAAAAACGGGTGCGTTATTAGAGCAGGTGTTTTATTGCCAGTGAGGGTGTGAAGACGTTCAAACACTAAGTAGATGCCAAATAAGTATGTATAACAATTGGTGTTTAAACATCTTAACACCTGTTTTATTTCCGGAAAATTCTAAAGCCAAATTCTAATTTAATAATTTTTATTCTGGCTAAAAAGGTCCCACAGATACAGATTTATTGTGACACCCATTTGATACTCTAAAACGTACTGTTTTCGTGAGGTTTTTTTTTATTTTTACAAAAATGAATATATTTTTACAAAAATGAATATGCAAAGAGATAAATGTTGGGGGTCACAAGACATCTGGTACTACTCTGTACATTGATTAATTGTAATTAGCACGCTCGTTTACTCAGGAGTCTAATCATTTGTGTTCAGACGGATCCTACCAACTTTGAGCAGAAGAGGGTGGTGGGAGGGCGATGATTGCTGCTTTGTGTAATTGCAATTAAGTATTATTATATATTTGCTTTATTACTAGGAAAAGCCCACTGAGTTGTTCGCTCTTTTTCAAAGGCGACCGGGCCACACACGGTAGCTTGGCATACGTGGGAATTGATAGTAGCAACCAAATAAGAAGAGAAAACGTGCAAACTCCAAATATACAACAGGCATCATTCGTATTGGGATCAAACCCACGACATCCTGCGTAACAGGCGAGGTAGATGGCATGTCGCCACCATAGGTATTTTTTTCTAATTTGGTTATGATGAAGATGTGATCATCATTCATGATAACGTCTGTGATGGTGATGAATATACGGTAATTCATGATGGTGATGTCTGTGACGGTAGTCGTGATGATTAATATAGGATCCCCCATATAGCCTTAAATACTGTCGAGGTAGGTGTTCATAATATAGGTTTTTGGGTCAGATCGCGTTATTTATAAATTAAATGATGACGTCACCCTGCTGCTGCTGCTCTATTTAAGACCTGGAGCAACAGGAGAGCTTCACCATTCTTGCCCGATGAAGCTGATTGTAATTATCAGCGAAACGGCGTACTACTCACATTTTAAAATGCTGTTGATTCTCTCTTCAGCACACCGGTGGGCTAAAGAAGTCAATTATTTTGTCCTTTGAAAAAGTGACACATTTTTTACTGTTTGGCCGTGTCGGGTGGTGGATGGTTACGACACATTTATAAATAACGCGATCTGACCCAAAAACCTATATTATGAATAATATTGGTCGCGAAAGCCTACGTGTTAAATTGAGGTAAGTGTTGTTAGCGAGCACCTATGAAGGCCGGCACGGCACACGAAGGAGTGGGTGGCCAGCGTCACGCCCGGCCGCCTTTGTCTCCCGAGTGGCGATGCTTACACATTGCACCAGGTATAGTACTCATTTGAGGTTGAGTCGACCTAGGAGAGGCCCAGGACTGGTTTAGATAATCTTCACTGGTATTGACCGTGTGCGGGAATCGAACTCGGGTCGCCGGGTTCGTGTCAGTGCGCTAACCACCACGCCACCGCTCCCCGGATCGATAGTGCAAGTGGTCAGCGCACTGCACTACAAACCCAGAAACCCGAATATCTAAATCTGTCCTGGGCGTCCCCCAGGTCGACCCAGTCTTAAATGAGCAGCTGGTGCGGTGTTTAAACATTTGTGGAGAAAAATGTGGCCTGGTCAACAGCGTGCGTCACGCCGGTCCTAATAGATGCAGTACCAATGGGTGCTCGCTAACAGCACTTGCCCCAACAGTCTGGCCCAGAGTTGGCACCGCAGAGACCCTGTGTTCAAATCCAGACAGCCACGTGTGATTTAACCGGGTTCTCCTCTCTCGAGGGCAGCGTGTTGATGGTTTCAGCCCGGTCATCAATGACTGACATAGAGACACATAGACTCGCACGGAGACTCAGACTCAAATATGTCGAAACTAAGTTGTGATGAAACTGGCTTCTCAAAGTGTAGCGAGTTAATAATGGTCTCAGCTAGGTCACCAATGAATGCACACACGAAAAAAAAAACATCACGTAAAAATTCAAATTTTACACTTAATTTGGATCAAGTCCAGTTCTCAGAGAATAGCGGTCACATTGTTATACAGAGCCGGTGAAAAAAAAACTGCTACCCTCCACTGTGTAGACCGAAAGGTCACGTGAGCCATTCCCTTGATATGAAGTTTGCACAGCCCTGCGGGAGACCGGAGTTGATTCTTTGTCTCGTGATATGGCAACGATAGCACACTTGGGATGCAATTGTGGGGAAGTGATGAGAACGTTCAACAATAACAATACACGCTAGCAAGCCCCTTCCTTGCATTGCAGGCTATGAATCTAAACGTGCTCCACACTTGGGCAAAGTACAATTGTAATCATTACGAATTAACCTTACCAACGTGCTCCAGCAAGCTCAAGTTTATTTTGTCTGACCAGGTGAGAAGAGTGACCTGGGGCAACAGTCTGCCAATAGGAGGGGAGGGGGGGGGGGGTTATTGCGACTGTGTGTACAAATCCACACTGATTAATTTGCAAGCAATTAACGGATTTGAAAACAAAATAGACCCTGACGCAGGCACACGCCGGCTTACTCTGTGGATCCGTAACGTCCCCTGTGAATTGGACGGCGGTGTTATTGTGGCCATTACACCTGCCAGTATTAACCAGGACGGCCGCCGGATTCGAACCGGGAACCTGTTAATGCGCGGCGAACGCAAGGCCCATGTCACAGCCAGCAAGCCTGCATTGATGAACAATGTGCCTTGCAGAGACAAGCTGCAATTACAATAGAAATGCCTCGTTAGTTATCAAAGTGAATACTGCACGTATGGGTGCCTTTACTTCACCCGCTTAACAACCTAATTGCAATTATGAGCAACAATACATTATGATAAGCCGATTTTAAAAAAAAACATCTCTCAGAGGGCAATTAGAACATTTTAAAGACAATCGAAATATAATGATGCTTTGACTGTAAATAATAAAGAATTAGGTGACAATCAAACACGAATTGTATCCCTTGTCAATCCACTGCTGGATGAAGGCCTCCTCACATGCTCTGTTGGTCGTGGAGGCTATTTGATCATACTTCACCACGCTGAACAGCGAGCTCAGGAGGCGAGACCGCCTCTCAGCTCGGCCGCATTCATTGGTGCGGGGTGCTAACCACTGCGCCACCGCTCCACCACCACGCACACACGAGACGAGACACGGCGTTTGGGAATGTTTATTGTGATCAACGTGTGAGGCAAAGTGCGTGTGTTGTTGTCTGCTTCGCATAGGACTCCACATGGAGAAGAAACAATGGCAGGCCTTCATGTTCCATGTAGCTTAGCTGTAAACATCTGTAGCATGCGCTGACACTTGGCATACGTATGCATGCTTCCATCCGACAATGAAAGGGGATGAGCGTTGTATAATTTAGGCTGTAGTTCATATCCCGTGATACCTGTGGTTTTATTTCGTCAATTCGTCTTTAAGCCAGACGTTGAATTAACTCCATATTTCACGGCCCATCACAGTAAGCCTGAACCTGCTTGCCATGCAATCTGCTAACGTCCAAAGAGATATTAACAAACCAAAAAACTCAATTCATTCGTCAAAAGGACCACTGCCCCCGAAATGTCGCCAAATATATCTTTCTTTTCAAGACCACACTGTTACAAATGTGTTGAAATCGTGTGGACGGTGGCTACCATGGAACGCACAAACCTTTGGAAGTGCATCCTATTTACCAGTTGAAAACAGCCGATTTGCACGCGCGATTCGATGCACGGCATCGCGAAGATAACAGTTAATTCCGTAAGACGCATCGACGAATCGTTCCTTGCCTACTCAATTAGCAATTAAACGGGGCGGGGATTGGTGAACGTGGAATGGCGTGGAACGGTGGGTGGCGAGGGCTGGCGTGGACCCGAAGCGGTACAGGAGGTTTTATTTCTGAACAGAACGATCAATATAATTCAGCCGACTTGGGTAATTGAACATCACATCATTATGGGCTATACACATGTATGTTTGCGTGCAATCCTTGGCAAAAATCGATGCGCGTGTGCCATGCACATGTAAGAGCAAGCGTTTGGCACAACAACAAAAACAAGAAATCGGCAACTGTGTTTTAGTTTTTTTTGTGTGTGTGGGGCACCGTCAGTTGTGTCGCTCCGCTTTACCTGTCGCAACTCAAGTGCTCTGAGAAATTACCGCGATTTCCCCGTTATTGTTGT